ATTTTTCTAGAAGGAGTGACGGCAGATCCTGAGATCAAAAGCGATGTGACTCACGCTGGCTTCATCGTTGTGAGCCATCCTCTTCTAGGTGATTGCCCCAATCCTCTGAGTGTGCACAGTTCTTGAACTTCCACTTTTCGCAATCCCAGAGACGTGTGTTTGAACCTTCCTTGACAGGCCGACAGGAAGGAACCAGACTAGATATGTGGGCTGTAAGGTCGGGCTTATGCGGTCGACGGACTGCAGCCAACATACGAGCTCTAAGGCGTTGAATTCGTGAGTTAAAATTTTTTTCGCCTGTCAGAACCCAAACAACCTCAACGTGAATATGAGCGATACGTCGGCCACAGTGCCCTAAAGCTGGTGTCAGAGTTCGCGATCCGTCGAAGATTCTGCGCGAATCACGCGATTTGTGATCACAGAAATCACAAGTGCCCGATCAATACTGCAAGGTGCTCTCCAATCCCGCCGCCATTTCTGCTTGATGGTGATGGCTGAATGACGACTGCTCATGATTCTACTTGTTTCATATTCAGTGTTTCAAATGTTCAAATAGGGCACTTGCGATCTTTGCGTAGCGCTGTCGTGTGGTCACTCTCAGTTTAGACACACTGAGCAGGTTTATGACGATGCCGATTTTCGCAGACGTCACATAAGAGCAGCTTAAAAGTTGTTTCTTATACGTAGAACTCGCCTTATAAACAACCTTTCATTGAGACGAAAAGATAGAGGAGGGTTTCACGATAAGTTGGAGGTCGAATAAGAAGATATATGCCTATTGGGCAGGCGTGCCCCCGGATTCGTTTCGAAGCAAGGGGTATGCCCTTACTGGAATAGCAGGGTCTTACCTGCGACGTGCCTACCAACGGCCGCATAGTAACAGAAGCACGTTGGATGCTACTGCTATTACTGCCATCGTTTGCTCATAATTTCGTAAGGACATTTTTCTCAAGGGGCTGTTCTTTCAGTTTTGCTAGGTAATGCGTCATCAAAGGACTACGATAGTTGCATGATGTGGGGTATCGCGATACCGATGCAAACGAGTCCTGGTCGCTGGCTCTTTTTCCCTCAAAAACACCGTCGAGCGGGGGCATTTGTATAGGGGGGGGTAACTACCATGAAACCGGAAAATTCCCTATATTTCTCTTGACTTTCCCTCATTTTCTCTCTATTTTACATGTAATTTCGTGCTACCGAAACAAGTACGACTCCCCACCACAAACTCAACAAACTACGACCCCCGTTGGTACTTTGTCCCAACGTAGGGTTGACCCTCGTCCCAATACTCGGGTTCTAGCCATTTTTCCCAGTTTTCCATGACCGCTGCACCAGCGATCACCTCTGCTATTACTTGAAACGGGCTGCCAATTTACCGTACCATCTGTCTTCAATATGCAGGATACAGATCGAGTCCATCAAGTGGAATACTCACCGAAATACACAAGTCATGTTCGGCTTACATGAATGGCCCACAACACTGAGTCGAATACAGAGTGCGATGCCGATGGGTATACCAACGTCAGTTAACAGAGGAAAACTGTTCACCCAAGCCACTTTGAGTAGCCTGAAATCATTCAAAATCAGAAAGAAATTTAAAAACGTAAGAAGTTTGAAGATCATCTTCAATGAGAATATGCGAAACAATTATCTCACGTCATTCAAGCAATTTCTTGGACTCAAGACTAGGGTTAGGACTTTCTGGCCTGAAGTGTAGCTACTACCGCTCTGACCCAAAACCTACAAACCAATATCAGTTTGAATTGAGCGACTCTTAGGTTCTTCTCAGCTTACTGATCGAACTGGGGGGAGGGGAGAGAAGCAGAGAAAAATGGAAGAGAAGCAGAGAAAAATGGAGCGAGGGGGGACATGGTGCTGCCACGCGCCTGAGAGAAGGGGTATTAGGAGGTGAGAGGTGAGGGAGGAGAGTGCGGAAGGACAACCGTTTTCGACAATAAGGTCTATATTCATAATGACGTATTATTCTAACTTGATGTGCTTACAGTGGCAGCTGTAAAAGGGGTAGATAGCGAGGAGGAAGTGGCCGTCAGCGAGGAGGGAGATGAGGAAAGGAGGGGACATACCAATGACCATTTTCTGATGCAGGTCCTTTAACATGCCCTCGTGTCATGAGAGGAAGATGCAATACCATATAAACGGGATCGCTTACCGTTTGAAAATATCATCGCTTAACGAAACAGAACTTCTCAGAATGTCTTGTAATCTCCATAACTGACAGTTCGTCTTCCTCGCCATATCAGATATACTGCAGCGTAGCGAGGGAGCGTACGACTGAAATGAAACACTTGAAGACGTTCACAGAATCTCCCTACCATACCGTTGTCCACGATGGTTTCTCCCATATCTCCAGCTGCCCACTTCGCTGCTAGACGCATAGCAAACCGAACCCACATGTTCGCAACTCCGTTATGCTCCTGAAAAAAAGTGTTCACGCTAAGATACTTGCTGAATACAATTACAAGTTTTGAAGAAAATTTAGCTCAACATCGAGAGTGGGACTGTAGAAGGTAAACAGTCCCAAAAGTTCTGATCTCGTTTAATATAGTGCGTACCAAAAGGGGCGACGGACTCAACCCCGGACGCACCAAAAGTCCCGCACCCTACCTAAAGTATGTATGGACAACCAAGAATCGATTCTCAGGGGTCAGCTAAAGGCTTTTATGTCATGAAACCTTCACCATTCAACTCCTAGTGGTCGATAACCTACAATGACATTTCGGCAAAAGATTTCGTTCTAACTTAGCGAACTATTTTTCATGGAAAGTTTTTTCTTTGTATCAAAATTATGTGGACACCCTGAGGCAGATGAAGTTTTCTGAGCTAACTTTTAACCTATTTTTCCTTTTCTACCTCTGTGCCCTGCGCTAATTCCTCTTCACTTTCTAAAAAAGAAGACCAAAGCACAGATATGAAGTTCTCATAGCTGAACCATCCAATTGCAAAGCCGTACGTCAACTTGGCCGTGTGGCTTCGTGTGTTGGAGAAGAGATCCAGACCTTATGCTATGCTGTCGATAATGACTAGCGTCGTCTACGATCGTCACTTATTCAAAACAAAAAAAAAAAAAAACACACAAGAATAGGCCATGATTGGCTAAAATTGTTCTTAATCTGCTGTGCACCTCGCGTTCAAATGACGCTCCCGTTTTTAAAAAATGAACCTTTAGCGTTCCATTCGATCGAAAGAGCGCGTGGTACAATAGAAAATGAAGAAAGGTATGGATGCCTAGTACAAATTGGTAAGGTTGCAATTCTAACTCGAAAATTGAACCACAACATGGAACGCCGAACCTGGACAGACAGCGCTTTTGTGGAGATAGTAATGTGCTAGCGTAGGTGAGGGGGCCACGAGGTAGCGCGGCGTCTGTTCGTCGTGCTCTCCAAAGAATATTCCTGAGTGGACGTTTCAATCGCCGCCGCGACGCGCTTTTGAAATACGGTGACCCCTTAGGACTAACCCTTGGACAGCACTGAAGAACAGACGCCGCGCCGCCGTGGCTCCCCTCAGCTACGCTAGCGCCGATGGTAAGATTAGAATAAAAAACTCTGTTGAAATTTCCTTCTCAAGTCATCTCGACTGGCGGAGGGTTCCGGGTGTCTCGCTTGTTTTTGGAGAAGACCTTGCTCGTGAACCGCAGATGTGCTCGAAAAGACAATTCGGAAGATGTTCATCAAAGGTCTGGGGTGGTTCCAAAAGGAGGGGAAATTGAAGTTTGGCTTGCCAACATGTCAGGTAGACAACTAGGATTATAATGAGGTGCTTGAGTCCCGGCTACAACCTTTTTCGAGAAGTCACCGTCGCGAAATCACTTGTTTTGCAAGCCCGAAGGGAGGTCCCTGACACCATTCCATTTGGAAAAATGCTAAACGCAACGGCTTTGATTGGCAAGTCGGCTAGCGTATTCCTCAGACTTCATCCTTATTCGAAAACGTAGAGGTATCGTGGTTCGCGGTCTCTACGTCATTGAACGGAAGAGTAATATCACAAGGGACCTAACAAGTTGGTAATAATGGCAAACAGAACGGGTTGGGAACAGATCGACAAGGCAGGTATCGACAGCCTGGTTCAGAGCATGCTAAATAGAATATCTTAATTAATATTAGTATACCATGAAAAGCTCAGTTCGAATGAGTAGCGGTAGCGTAACTGGTAGCGCACTTGCCCGGAAAGCGAGAGTGCGAGTTCTAGTCCCGCCTGGGGCGAAAGTTTTGTTCACAACCCAGCATTCTTGTAAAAGAATATCTCAACTTATTAGGATCTTTAGTAGGCTTTTGGATTTTAGATTCCGAAAATATAGCCGTCTTCTAAGAAGAGTCCAAATACTTTTCTACAGGGGTAAAGCAATTCAAGGTTTTTCCTACGATTGAAAAATTATGTATGTAAATTGGTGATAAATGAGAACTGATAAGGTTTTCGCATACGAGAAATTGAATGTGATGGTGCAGAGATCAACAGTTCTTAAGAGAAAGGAAAATTTCAAGGTGCCCTCATAGTTTTGGTACGCGAGCTGTAGTGCTAGACAACTTCTCTATTCTCATGTTAGATGTAACCTAAGCAAGACCACAACATAAAATTCGTACAAACCTTGCACGATACGCATTCGTTCTTATGCAAAGGCCAATCCTTCTTCTGACAACCTCGCGAGCAGTAGTAGAAAAGTAGGCAACCTTTACACTTTTTCAGGTCTGGTTGCGCTTTGAGGCACCCATGGCAAAAAAGATGAAGCTGAAAGTGACCAATGAACAAAAAGTCTGACCTTAGAACATGAACATAAAACTCCAAACCAGCATTTTCTATCACTGACTAGCAAAGCCTCTTCTTTTGAAAGATTCACCTCAGAAGACATGAGTGAGCATCGATTTCGAATGAAAGAAACCTAGGACCAGCGAGTGTGGGGAGAATGTGGAACTCGGGACTGGGATCCTTCCAAGTATTTCGTAAGCAATGATGTCCTCATGTGGTGGTCGCGGTCATGTGAGACATGATGAAATACAGTGACCTTCCGAATACGGTATAGTTAGCAGTGTTTGTTTTGACGAAAATCTTGAACCAGCAATCTCACGGCCGCAGCCGGCCCCTGAAAAAAGAAGCTACTGTGGAATAGGGAAATTCTCAAGCAGTTATTTAACAATACCCCTCCCGAGAAATCACATGGAAAAATTTCTATGGCAGGTTTGAATTTGAAGCTACCAACTTGCAGCAACAGAAAAACCCCAAACAACCCGTCTTGATCTCCTCAGAAGTTCCCATTAAAGCAAGAATAGTTACAGTATCAAATATATTAATTGTTCTCACAATTTCCTGAACCCAGCGAAATGGATTCATTTCATAAGCAGCCTTGAATCGAAACATTGCCAACCCCATGTTAGGAGTTGCAGCACTTCTATACAGTTCGCCAGCGTGATGCTGTGCATTTCAAATCAAGGATGACTGGTATCGAAGTCAATATTCACGAAAGATTCATCTCTTCTTCACAAATCTAAACTTATGACAGGGCAGGAGTAGCATATTTTTGATTGCCACTTCAAGAACTTTTACATCGATTCGGCTACTTTGAAGCACCTACTGAGATCCCTATCAAAAGCAGTCGGGGCCAAGCATGAAAATAAATGCCTCTGGCATGTCGGTGGGCAGGTAAACTATATAGACGTGTTACGACATCATTTTTCAATTGTTGCAGTGTGAAAGGAGGACATTCTACCATAATTATTCTATTATATCAACCGCAGAATTCAAGTCGGTTGTATGTATTTTTTCCCAGTGCGTCGCCTGTCCGTCTGCAAAATGAAGCCCCCAAGGTTTATGGAACAAACAAACCGCACCAAAAACCCAAACAAACTAAGAAAATTGGGAGCTTGCAGCACTTGCGCTAGCAACGTCTTGCAATCGCCTGATTGTGCTTCAACATCAATTCTGCTATATGAACACCGACTGCGCACAATCTGTTCACTCCTCATGGTGTCTCGAAAGCGGATGGGGTAGGCTATGGCGGGAGGAGGAGGAGGAGGGGGAGACGTGCGTTTCCTCCTCCTGGGGTCAGGTCACCACAGTTGCGCGATAATTGAAGCTTCAGGTTAAGTCTGGGTTTAGACTTAGGTTAAAGGCAAACCCCGGGATTGGCCCGACTAGTAGGAGGGATACCACTAGGGAAATTGCAAGGTCTGTAACTACCTAGTCCAAAATTGCGCGGTTAGGGCGCTATCCTTACGGGCCTGCAACCATCGACCCAATTTCCAACGCTTCCCACCCACCGCGAGAGTGGTGAGATCAGCGTGCATTGATGTAGAGATCAGCGTGCTCTCTCAAACGACGTGCTCTCTCGCGTATTTTGTCTTCTTTGACCGCCCTTTCTCGCCATCGTACCACATCCGACCCTGTTGAAGGTTAAGGCCTTAATTTCAGCGTTCCCAAAGATTTCTCTTGCTTTCCTTCCACTTTCAGGTCGTTCCGCAGCTAAGCTATCACTACAGAGCGCTGATAGCACCTAGTTCAATCCCGGAGTTTGCCTTTAAGGCTTATGCTTAGGACTAAGCCAATGATTGGGCCTAGGCTTAGTCCTAAGCTTGCTTCGAGCGAATGAACGGCGTCTCAGTTTTAGGTGATCTGACCCAAGGAGGAGAAACGCTGCGCACCCGGTGGAGGCTGAGGAAGAGGTCGAAACCCATTAAAAAGTCCAGGGTCCAAGTCATTGCCGAAGTATCTGTCGTGATTGCGACAGTACACTCGAACTCTTACATAAACATCTATGAGCACTGTACAGTCAATTCATATGCTGCTGCCATCAGACGACTAGACAGGGATGAGAAGAGATGCTGGGAGGGAAAAGGTAGGCAATCTTTCCTTCAATAGACCTACATAGTTTTAGAAATTTCATTCTAAGGTTGCGATAATGCCCCAAATTATATGAGAAATCCTTTTGTGCACGCCATCATTTACTTGTGGCCGTGACACTTCTCCTTGTGGGAGTTTCACTTCACAAGAAGTGGAAGTGGACACAGGTGAAGGAAGGAGTAAAGCTTCTGCCGTATAATGTAGGTCCTGAAGATTGCCGTAAAACAAAAAAGGCTGAAGGAATCGGTTACGCAGAAATTATAATTTTATCTCACACTTGGGAAATATCATTCAAGATAGCAACGAAAAGAAGAAAATTATGTTGTTTTCAGAACTGTTTGAAGAAACCAGAAGGAGTGTCACGCGTTCGCATCATCGCCATCTTTCACAGACTTTGACGATAGAAACAATTCCACTTTATTCTCGAGACGCCGTCGACTTAGGAAGTGACTTTTTTATCTTCTTTACACCATAGCAATCAGTTTTCTCCTTTAGCTGCATCCCATTCTATGCGATCTTTTGTCGCCTTCTGTCTTCGAACGCTATCACTCGATTGGTCAATATATGCGTCGCCATTTATGGTGGCCTCCCAAGGACCATTCTTTCCTTCCTTCGTTTCGCCTTCCTACCTGACGTCCATGGTGGTGTGCGATGTGACGCGAGTCGCCTTTCGAACAGGAACTTGTGCGTGGAACTTCGTACGGCTCTTCAGTGATTGCAACTTGACGGGATAGAATTGGCAGGGATGTCCAACGGACGGTTGACCCTGTTAACACGTTGACGACAGCGCGCGTTTTGGCTTTTTTGGCCGCGTGGGACCAGCGCGATTTTGCGAGCGCAACCGCCTCAGGTCATTCGAGCGTATTTCGAATGGTAAACACATAACAAATGACTGATACAAAATTAGTTCAGTGACTTTCATCGAGTAGAAACTATCCAAGGGTACAGTTGTGGAAATTTGATCGAAAGATGCGAAATACGAATGAAAAAGCAAAATTTGCCAGACTTATCTACAACGGACCTTAAAATCCGTCCTACCTGGATTGCTGCGATCAAACAGCTCCGTATTTAATTTTACCACTCTTTTGAACCTCACACTTATCGAATGAAAAGGGAAACAAAAAATTATCTGAACTGATATATTCAGTAACGTTCAGAAATCTTTTTCTAAGTTGAGGCATACGTAACCCTTATTCGAGCCACTATGTTTGTAGCTGTGCTAGGGTCTCTTCTATAGAACAAACACAAGAAACTTTGAAATTGATCACGCGTGCGCGGGAAAAAATTGATGTAATGGGTGCAGGACACATACGTCCCGCGCTGTCCGTCATGGCCAGCAAAGTGCGGGACGTATGTGTCCTGCGCTGTCGTCAACGTGTTAAACACAATTTACCGCATAATGCCAATGCAATTCCTTCGCCTCAGTTAGCTCATTGCTTACCTATGGATTGCTCAGGGGTATTGGTCCAGATGACGCTTAAGCACCACGATCATTCGAAAAATGATTCTGCTAACAAACACCTGTCATTGTAACGAATTTCTGACCAAACAGTTAATAGTCGCGAATACGATGCGAAAAGTGGATGGGTAGCCAGTTCATCGTGAGAAGAGGCAGCTCCCTTCATTTTCTTAGGCCATTTATTTTAAGGACGCAGAAGAGTAGAGAAGTTCAAGGCTCATCGTCAGCAGAAACCTTTCTTTTGGCCTCCTTTGTGAACATACACAGTATTGTTCATAGGGCTGCCGTAGTTTTCTATGAACCAGTTTGTTCCGCTTTATACCTTTTTCGTAACATGAGACTGGCGATACAGAGCGATGTAACCGTAATCTTCATTTTCAACCCGTTGACTATAGCGCGTGTTTCGACTTTTTTGGCCACGTGGGAAAGGAGCGCGATTTTGCGAGCGCGGTCGCCTGACCATGCGTACGTAACTTCGAGTAATAACACCTTTCCGTAAATATTCATTGCATAGAAGTTAACTATGGATATAGTGGCAGACTTTTTGATCAAGCCAATTTTTTGTTGTGTCTGTAAATTTTACTCTTTCTCCCTGGATGGAAGTCAATAGTATTATTGAAGCGGTTACTCCAATATGAAGCAAATATGGATATTTTAGCTATCCGTTGCAGGTTATTTATTTATGCTGTATCCTCTCTTTATTGACATGGTCATGAGAACAAAACGGAAACGAGGAATGAGCCGAGTTGATTTCGTAGCGATTAGGGAACCTCTGCTAAGTTGAAGCATATTTGCTGACGAAGTTATCCGCTGAATAAATGGCCGATGTCCTCCATAGAGACACTCAAAAAGGCGTATCATTTTTCCCAGGTACATAGAAGTGCTTTATCATTATCCTTCGCAGAGATCGGAATTCTAACACTTTTAAAACGAACGCTTGAGCTCTTCAGTTCACGTTTGTGGCAAACAACGACCTCCAAACCAGGGTCAACCGTCACGTTCGAACATTTTCGGGATTTTTGCGACCCCCTAGCTCTCGAGGGGGTCCAGTTGCGACCCCCTGTTTTTGTTAATAAGAGTGCTAGACATGAATCCGTTGCGCCAGAAAGCGTCTGCGCGTCGTCGCGTCGGCCTTGGAGCGCGGCAGGTATCACCCGGGCGCTGGAAGAACGGGACGCGGCGAAGAAAAAATTTTAGAGGGGAATAACTTTCTTGGGACGTATTTTTTTGACTTGTTGAGGTAGATTTTGATTGTGCCTGAGGTGCGCTTCCAGAAAACTACAAGGATTGCCTAACTCTCCGGAAAGTACTTCTGTTAGAAGTGGAAAACCCAAAATTCTAAGAAGGCGCACCTTCAACTTTGAAGGCCCATAAAATCTTTCGTATGCGACATTTTGGAAATCTGTAAAAAGTTTCAGAAACTTCAAATATTTCTCTAACAAAACAGTATAAAAAGTTTAGTGATTGTCCCCTTTTTCAAAAAATTGTCCCGTTCGAACATTTTTCGTGCAAAAGCGAGTTTTTGGGCTTTCAGCGACCATAACTCACTTCATTTTCATTTCTGTGATGCACTTTTTTCATGGGGTGAAAGTACAGGATTTGCTCTTTCTACAAGC